ATAAAGAGCGACGTTACAATAAAGGAAAAAATGACATAAAGTACCATCGACTGCCTCTTTGTAAAAGAGTAAACAAACGACTGCTGTGCAGCAAATTAGGGAGAAAAGACATTGCCGTTAGAGCTTATATTTTTCGTTATTTTTAACACATTACTGTAAAAGCCGTTAGACAGGTTTCTTTTATGAGTATACTGCGCAGCATTTCTGCGATAAAAGAGCTGCCAAGAACAATAAAAAACATCATATTGGACAGCAAGTTAACATTTTAGGCATTCACGTTACTGGAGGAGTTTCCGTTTGGTCTTTTAAGCCCTTTCTTGTGTGTCCCTTGTCATTGCAGGAGTTTTGAAGTGATAATACAGAATATTTTATTTTAGATCTATTTACAATCTTATTATCTTTTATCTTTTATGGTCCATAGTTAAAAAAAGTAAAGAATTATCGAAACTGCAGTGCTTCTGGGAATTTTAAATATTTGTTTTTCCCTAGTACCCCGCTATTACGGACTCTCGCTATTACGGACACTAAATCTTCGCCCTAGGGTGTCCGCAATAACGGGAGTCGACTGTATCGCGAATCCGCGGCCACCAGATCAAAAAATTCGAATTTTTATTATTTCACCAAAAAAACCTTTTGGTAAATTATTTTCAAAAACAATAAGTCAGAGCGAAGCTCCGTTTTTGCGAAAAATAGGAAAGTTTAAAATCGACCTAAACCCTATGGTCGAAGGCCCGATGGAGATTATGCACATTAGGACATTTTCAAACCGCTCGTACGAAAAAGCGAAATCTATAATCTATATCACTGACATATGCCATAATAGGACAGAGAGGGAGCTAAGGTCGTTGGCCAGGATATCTTAATTTCAAAAAAGTTATTTTTAGAACTATGCGGACCACGCGGAAACAGTTTCCAGTAAACTAGTTGACTTCCGGAAGACGCTTTTACTATTCAGCGCACTTGTTTCCATATCTCAAACCGCCCTTGGTTATCTTGTGATGCCTACACGGCATGAGTGAGCCCTGACAATAGTGATTAGGGTTAAGCACTAACAATACTGATTAGGGTTGAGCACTGACCATACTGATCCAGAGGGTTAATAGTTAGCTTCTTTTTAGGGTTAGGGTTTTCGCTATACTACTTAAATCAAACCAGACTCCTGCAATAAATTCGTGGTGGTCTAGTGGTTAGGACAGGAGACTGTGGACCTAGCACTCTGGGTTCGAATCCTGCTCGTATTTATGAAATTTCTTTTTTCCTTTAAAATTGAAGAGACTTGCCCTTTGACAACATTTGTTGAGCAGAAACTAAGTCTCTGAGTCAAGAAACTTAGAAATTTCATGTAAGTGTAAGTGAAAAGGGAGAGGGCGGTTTGAGGTATGGAAACAAGCGCTTACCGGAGGGACGATGTGGAGTTGATAAATTGGCCTTCTTCAACAAAGAACCTACCATAGAAACTGCTTAAAACTTCTACACAAAAGGGTCCTTAACAAGCAACGGTAGAAGTCGGTTAAAGCGACCGCGTGGACCATCGTTTTTGTTTGAACAGCTGGAAAGAGGACAAGTAGCATTGCGGCCGACGGATAAGAGTTGCACACAAAACGCGCGGGTCCTACAAAGACAACCGTACAAGCAACCGTGTGGACGTATTTTCTATTGAAAGAGGAAGGAAAAGAACGTATAAAGGTTTCCAGTATTTGTCAAGGACATGACCGGGAATCTTGTGGAACACACCTTTTCCTGCTTGACTGATATTTTGTTCCGCACTTCACATTGGACAATTAGCAATTCTTTATTGAACACGAGGTTAATAGAAGCGGAATATTCGCGGCGAGGTTAATATTCCTAAATCAGTAAAGAAACCAAAAAGCTCAATTTGATTGACGGATCAAATCATGCGTGAAAATCGGAAAACAATAGCTTTGATCTTTACAGAATTTTCAAACATTGCAAATTAAATCGGAAACAATAGCCTAATGGGTTATATGGAATCGCCAGAAGTTTAAATTGTACTTCCAAGCCTTAGAAGAAAAGTAGAGCTTTGTTTTCTTCTGTCGACTCGCCAAGTCTGGGAAAAAGGTTTTTGTGCAGTTAATTTGTGTTGTTCTTCGTAAGTGTAGACAATGGGGTGGCCCGGTTGCTCGAGGTAGGGAGCCGTTTCTCTGTAGTTTTCTCTGTCCTGTTTAATTGAAATCTCGAGCTTTCGTTAAGATTTGCTTTCACTTTTTTCGTCATAAGTCAGTTGAATTTGATTTCGGGGGAAAATTTGTCTGTAAAGGAAATGTTGAGTTTACACACCTCTTCTACTCGATTAAACTGTAATTGTCAACATTCCATCGAGCAAAAAATACTGCTAAAGTTAATCCGAAAACGCTCTTTTGAAACTTTGAAGTCTTTTCATATCTTGAAAAAAATAGACCCCATTCCGAAAGGTTGTTACTCTTGTTACTCTTTTAAAAAAATTGGCAAAACAACGAGCTCACGAATTATTTACTCGCGACGCTAAAACTGTACAAAGATCACTGAGTGTGTATTTAGAAAGCTTTATTTGTGTAAGGTTATTTGTGTTTTTCATGTTGCAAACGGTGTTGAAATAAATACGACAGTATGATAATCTCATCTGGAGTTAATTTACTTTATGTGGTTTTACCAAGACTCATATTTTCCTCATACACCTATAATACTTAACCTTTACAGATCCCGCGCCACCATGTATAGGTAAGATTTCCATACAACCCCAAACATTTGTTATGTATGTTTAACAGTTGTTCCACGAGGGCGCGTTGGATATGAGATGATAGATAGCCAACGAGGCGCGTAGCGCCGAGTTGGTTATAATCATATCATATCCAACAAGCGCGAATGGAATAATTGTTTTATTAAAAACGCCCACAAAATCTCGTTGAATCTCCCCGACTAGAACAAACCGTTTGCCAGGTGCTAGAAAATGTGAAATAAGCGCCATGTTTTCCTGGTGTTACCGCCGGTGAATGTTGAGTTTTCCCGGGAGTTTTCCTTGTGTTGCCCGAAGTCGGAAAAGGATTTAGGAACGTGATATTTTCACATTAATCGTTTGGTAAAATTTCCGGTTAACGAGAGAAAACGAGCTGTTCAACCCCGTTTTCCATGTGCTGGATAATGTGACATGAACAGCATATTTTCCCTCTGTTAAGTGATGGTGAATGCCAAGTTGTCCTTGTCTTTTCCGAAGTTGGAAAACAAGTCACGAGAGAAAGCGCACTGTTCAACCACGTTTTCCGTGTGCTGGTAAACGTGAAGTAAACAGTATATTTTCCTGGGGATACAGTTATTACTAGTAGTAATTGCAAATTAGGAGAGTCTTTTCAGTGTTATTGTTTATCCTCCCACTTTACAATTCGTTACTTTTTTTGTTTTTTCTAAAAAATGTAGGAGCGCGTCCTGTCACATTCAGTACATTTACTTGGCTAAACCTCGATAATTAGTAAATAAGTAAGTAACAGCGGGTCAAACACTGACTATCCTCAAGTTATTATTTAGCACTGTAGGATGGCTAAAAACTTGGGTTACAAAAAAATAAAGTCATCAGAAAAGTTAATTTAAAAGGTATCAAAGCGTCACGTACGACTTTGTTGCGTCGGCGATGCGCAGCGGCTGTTTCCTCGCCCATAAGGAATATATAATTAGGATATGTTTTGACCTTTTCAGGAAACCGCGAGGAGGTCTTTTGTTTCTTTAACGCCATCCCTATAAGGACCATGCCAACATGTTCTGCTCTGTAAGAGTGCAGACGTGCTATTAGAATTCGTGTTTAAAAGTGGCCTTGACAGTTCCTCGCTTTATTGAGGTACTGGCGCTTAATGTAGTCAAACTTCGACTATCTGTGCAAGCGAAAAACGTGACTGCCACTGTCAAGGTGTTTTTGAAGCCCTACGTCTGTTTCGTAACTGCATGAGAACACACCCATCGATTGAACAGTAACCAGAGACCGAGACCAGGTCTAAAAATGGCTGTAAAAAATAGCATTTTGGTCAGGCGCAGAATTTGGAGAACCGGGCGGCACACATCCACCAAGAATTTCTAAGAGTATTTATAACTGTCTTAAACTCACGTGTTGTGCTATCTAGCGATCTTTTGATCTTATTTTACCAAACCTAGAACCAATTAGCACAGTTTTTACCAACGTAGTCCGTAGTCCACATTTTATACCTAGTCCGTGTTTTATACCTAGTCCGGAGTCCACAGCCCATGTTTCAGTGATACTGACCGATTCCTAAATTTTCCCTAAATAGCCGTCAACTGTCAAAAGCCTTAAAAATTTAGCCGCCGACCACCAAAATTGGAAAAAAAAATGACCGTCAACCGTCAAAGCTACCACCCCATTGAGACCCTCAACCCAAACTTAGTGGTTGCTTCCCTCCCCTTCCTTCCATGTTGGTTTCAAGTGTTTGCTTGGGCATAAACGTCTCTAAATCAACATTAAATTGAAAGGCAAGGGAAGGACAAACTCGCAAGCGTTTCAAAAATCATGACTGGGAATGCACCTTAAATCTTCCGGCTGAGTTCAAAATCAATAGGACGAATATTGTCATGGAACTCACTAAAGGAATGCAGTGGCTCTTCGATTCATTCTGAATGTTTGGCTGTTTCAGAATGGAAACTTCAAAAGCTTACCCGATTACATGATGACGCCAAAAGCTAAAAGATCTAAGTTAGATGACATAATTTCTTAGAGAATGTTAGACGCCAGGTCTGAGAACAGGTATGGATTCTAGAGGCCAGGTCTTGGTCTGAAATAGGCGGGTCAGGATTTGGAGAACTGCGCGGCACACCCGCACCAAGAATTCCCAGGAGTAATCCCCTGGGGAAGAGTTACGGTCGTTTTGAGGAAATGGGAGTTCTGTTATCAACAATGCCCTTTATTACTATTATTATTTGGGAGAAATAAGATGCCCATCAATATACAGACGTAAGCGACATTTACAAGGGGCAAAGAAAACAATCGCCAACAATCAGACGGCTCTCTCGTTTCGACTCGTAGAGTTTTCAGTTAAACTGAAGGGGTTTTTCTGCACAACTGCTACATGAAACAAGGTAAGTAAAATAGTATCATTATTATCATTTTTAATTTTTTTTCTGTTCAACGACAATTCGAGTCCTAGTAAAGCTATTAAAAGATGGACTCGAGAGTTTTTCCTGTCATCAAAGCATTTCAAAATGTTTTTTGAGTTCCGGAGAGAAAGGCGACTATTATCAAACGCCCTTATTATTTTATTGGATGGATGTTTTATATTCAATAAATTCGTTATCGTATCTTTGAGCCTGTATTTACTTATGTTCTCTAACAGCTCTCGGTGTAAAACAGACCAAACGTATAAGTTATTGTCTCAGAAGTAAATGTATAGTAACTACATTTTTGCGTCACACTATCCCGTTCTGTTGTCGTGTTTCACAAGCCCATACAACCGTACTCGTTTCGAGATACATAGGTGCTGTTTTGAAATTGAAATGATTTCTTTTGTAAACTCTTTTCGGGGCTAGATTAGATTTTAGAGTACATTTCGTTTAACAGAAAAACAATTTCTGTACTGGGCCACATCGGAAGGAAGCCAAAGGTTAAATAGTTCCCTTTATCTTAAATTATTTTATTTTTCAATTACATACCATGCATCCGTAGGTCGGGGCTTCATTTCCCTTGGGTTTGTTGTTGTTGTTCCATTAAAATTGCTATTAAGACAGCAACTTGTAGATCCTTGTAAAGGATACGATGAGATATAATAATTTAAAGATTCTGAAAAGTGGCTTACCCTAAAAGAGCGCCGGAAATTCCTTTCGGAACAATCAATGGTATCACAATCTCGCCTTGTATACATTAGTCTTACATCAGTGACATAGCTGCAATTTGTGACAGCCCACAGAGAATAATGATCATTTCTGTCTAAATGCTCACCAATAATGATTGCGCTCGCTCGTTTGTTCTTTGCTGTCGCTGTTAGTCGTATGAACTTCTTGAGAATTGTACTTTTCAGTTAAAAGCATTCGACATTCGTACGAACTGTAAACACCCAGTTACATTACGTTATGCAATACGAGCAGGGAAGACAAAAGACCTCTTCCAAAACAATGGGAAGACTGAAAAAAAAATTACATTGTCGCTTTAAGTAGTTTGTTGTACAAAATCGCGGCAGGAATGTTCCGTCCCAATGCCTAACACTGTTATAGAACGACATACACCTTCCAAACGTTGGTGCTAGAGTTCTTTTTGTTGTTTCTTTGTTTGTTTGCTTGCTTGTGTTTTTTATTGCTGATGGTTCGGCAACGTGAAGGTTTTTTTTTTTTTTTTTTTTACCAAACCGATATTTTTGAGAATGTACACACAGTAGCACAATAGGACCACGGTAACTCGAACTCCCCGCTAACTCGAACTAAGTCCCATTTTCCTTGGATTTCACTCTTCTTTTCACTGTTTTCAGTCACTTTTACTCGGAAAACTCGAATTCTTCGCTAATTCGAACTAAATTTCGTTTCCCTTTATCAAAGTTTCACTGAAATTTACCCCAATAACCCAGATTCTGCTGGTTCTTGAAACTCACCACGACGGCCATCCCTATAGCGTCTCTTTTCGTGCAATCGGTAAAACATGCTAAAACTAACACCACACACTGAGTTTGTTTTAAATAAGTGCAACGAACAGATCACGTATCCTAAACGTGTTTTAATTTCTCATGACATAAATTTAATTTGCACTCTGCTACCCGCTAACTCGAACTCTTTTTCGTGTCCCTTCAGACTTCTAGTTACCTGGGTCCCACCAGCTGTATACCTGGATTTTTGAAAACAGGATGAGCAAAAAAATCAACTCATTCTACTATTTGGCATTTGAAACAAAATCAACAACAAATCATTCAACGGCCGATTAAAAGCCTTTATCTGACGCCGGACAGTAAGTTACAGCACACACCCTTTAGGGAGGGAGGGAGGGGGGAGTCAAAAATTCCCCCTACAGCCTTTTCTACACAAGTCCCTAATCACGACGCAACCAAAGAAAAAAAATCGACATAAGAAAACAACACAGTAAAAAAGATAAGACAGGAAAAGTGAAGAGAAATTACAAACTGTTTCCCAACCCGATTTTCACAAACCCAGGTAGACATGTATGTAAAAAACTGTATCCTTTTCATATACTCTTGTAAAGACTTAGTCATATGTATTCTTATGGCCCATATCAGTATAGAAAGAACTTCACCGACGCTATTTCTTCTTCACGAGAAAGAGATTTATCTCAATTTACGAACGTTTTGAATACTTGTAACCTTCCTCTGTTTATTTCTTTTTAAAGACCGAAAATTATGTCCAGTGTTTTGCTCCTTTACACGCAAGCCGATCAACATCGCAGCCAAGAACTGAAAGATTTCCTGAAAACAAAGCTGGGATCCTTAGCGAGTGTCATTACCGCACGTGACGTTTTGGGAAACGATTCCACGGTTGAGGATGAGTTGTTCCAAAGCACGTGTATCCTGATCGTGTACACTCAAGACAGCGAAAAGCATCTGCAAGAAGGCGCCTTCGATTTCGATGCTGAATACGTAGTGTTCGATGGCAGTATAATCAAAGCTTTTCTCGAAGAAGAGGAAGTTGTTCACCGAGTTGTCGCTGTTCACTATGGATGGAGACCAGAAAAGTGGCTCTATGATCGATTGCCAAAACGAATTTTTCATGTAAGTGAGACGCTGGAGTTGGAAAGTAATCCAAAGGTTTCTCAAATTGTGGATACAATCAAAGGGATTGTTAAGAAAAAGAAATAATCCGGGATATTTTTGTCAAAGTGATCCACCGTAACCGTAAAGCCGTAACAACTAGATTTTAAACAATGAACTGAATGGTTTGAACGAAACATGATATTAACCAATGATTAGCCTTCGTTGCTGGCGGTATCGTGTGCTAAATCTGTTAAAACATCACTACCACCATTTCTGCTAGTTTGGTGAAAGGGGTAAAAATATTTTTCTCCGGACAATTAAATGGTTAGTTTTGACATACGCTCCACGGATTAATCAAGGTATACACACTACACGGAACAGAAAAGATGAGTGGCTTTTGGCCCCCCGTGTGGGGAGGGGCGGGGGTGCGGGGAGGGGAGACGGGAAATGAAACGAAAACAGACAAAAGCAAAACTGCTTTAAGGGATATGCCAAATTAGTATATACACACTCAGTGATCTTGGTGATTTAAGCAATCTGATTGGTTCGCTATCTCGGACTAGTCAACAATATTCACCTCCTAGCGAGTGGATAATAGGGAACTTAAGAACCACGACGAAGTTCACGTGCACGACGACGATGTCTGTTGACCGGGAAAGGACTGGAACGAGAACGTCAGTTTCGGCGGGAAAAAGGAAACTTAAGATGCAGTCGATCGGTAGGTCGACGCCGACGACACTGAATGTAAACAAACAACTAGAAGTAGTAGAACTGTGATGTTCGTTCGCAACAAAGTTTTTTCGCAGAGGCGTCTTTTAAAACGATGCAGGATCTTATTTTATAAGCCGTACGTCTACTTTCATTGACGATGAAGAATTTTTAATAATGTCTGACCTTTTCAAATAGAAAAATCTCTACTTTCCGTACGAAGATTATTCAACTTTCAACCTGAATGAGATGACCGAGTCCGAGTGTCTGTCAGAGGTTAGTTTTGGAAAAAGAGACATTCCGATGCGATAGCTGTTTTCCATATAAAGTTCATTTCCTCTATATTAAAGATATATGATTTGCCGTTCCTAAATACGTACAACTAAATTTATCACTTACGAGTTCGCTCGCTTGGCCTCCACATCTCAGTGTTGTCTTCGAAGTAAACACAATTCATCAGTCGAATTTTCAATCAACATCCCTTGTTAGGAGAAAAAAGGAAGGATACCTGGATTTACGAGGATAAAAAAAAAAAAGCCCTTGAAAAATCGCTTAAAAACAAGGAGTTATACCTGCCAAAGCTTGTGGATTGCAGGACGACGTGATTCTACTGTGTTTGGCGTCGTCGACGACACTACGACGACAAAATTTGCTAATCGCGCTTGCGCAGTGCACGGTATCTCACTTCCGGTCGTCGTAGACAAAAGGGACCTTAAGATCCGAGGACGGCGACGGCAGTGAAATCGTTGCTGAAAAAGCGAATTCGCGTTCTTTCAATCTTCATCGCGATTACTTCAAGTGACTAACTTTGTTAAATGTAGGCGAACCCTCCTAAAGTTGAATTCCTAAGAACCATATCCAAGTTCAGAAAGAGAGAGGAAATCTCGTCGTCTCTTGTGTACTTCCTCTGTGCATCGTGAAATTAGGCATTTTCACGTCGTAGTCGTGCAGTGACGGCAAAGAAATGTACAAAAAAGCGTGATGCACGTGCAAAATTGTTGTTTTGCTAGAAACCTATTGCTTTTGTGGCGTTCCCGTTGCCGTCGCCGTCGTCGGATCTTAAGGTCCCTAAAGTCGTCGTCGTGGTTCTTAAGTTCCCTAATGTGTGAGCTCGGTTTTTTTTCCCATTTTCTCAGAGAAAGATCTTCTAAAAGTCGACAAAGCCTTAGGGTTGCCTTTTTTTCAGGCAAGAAAAGACTTCGAAGGATTCAAAACGGCGTTTTTCCATTTACTGTAGTTGAGTTTTGTGGTCGATAGATTGTTTACTACTCCCGTTTATTCGCCTAGAAGAGGCCGTTTCGTGAACTCAGCGTTTCCTAACAAGAAAAATTTGGCCCAAAAAAGGAAGTTTTTTTATGACAAACAAATTTGAAAGCAAATGTTAGCAGAAATTCTACGTTTCAAGTAAACACGAGAAAGAATGCTACATGAAGACGACGTCTTACCTCGAGGAACCGAATCGCCATTTTTGTCAGCACTTCATGCGAAGAACGACACAACAAACCTTTTCGGCTATAAACGTGGCAAGTCAACAGAAAACAACAAAACTCTTCTTTTCTTCTCAGATAAGGAAACAATTCAAACTTTTAGCGGTTCCATTTAAGTCATTACGCTGTTGTTTGCGAAGTGATAAGCTTGTGAATTGCCATGTTTGAAAATTCTAGCTACAAAGATCTATTTTTAAACTGTGGCGTGTCTAGCTGACCTGTCTGTCAACCAAATCGTACTTTTGAATGGTTTCCTCACTGATTTTGTTGAGATCACTTCGTGTGTATATACTAAAACAATTATTCTTTTCAATCTCGGTGAATAGTGGCTTTAGGAATATTTACCTCGCCACTTCGTGGCTCTGTAAATATTTTGCCACTATTCACCTCGCTTTCAAAGAATAATTGTTGAATATACTGTTACATTTTTTAATCATTGGTTAGCCAGCGTAGCTGGCGGTATTGTGTCGGCGCCATTAAATTTTTGTCGGGCGGAGCCGCGATCCAAAAAAGGGAATAGGGACGAGGCGTATTTCTCGCGGCTTCGCCGCCAAATCTCACTGGACTAAGTGATCCACAACCAATCACACTGAGCGCTTACCATTTGTATGGAAAAAACCCGGAAATTCCGGGGAGAATTCAAATGGAACAGTTCAAATTTTCCGGAAAAAAGTAAATACCTTTCGAGGTATTACCTTTTTCCCGTTTTTACCGAAACGACCGAAATTTTCTGTACCATTTGTTTGGATTACTAGTGCCAGGCTTCATCCAGAGGAAGCAAAAACTTTACCGGTATTTTGTAAATGGTACAACTCAATCCCGTTCCTGTCCTCGGTGCCAAAAAAACCAGTACCATTTGACGGAAATTTTCCACCGAAATTTCCCTGCAAATTGTAAGCGGTCACTGTGTTCAGCTCCCTTAATCCTTTTAATTGGACTCGGGGCATTTAAGGCATGTAAAGGGCAGGACCTGTGATGTTGAATTTGCCTCCAGTGTAGCTAAAGTTTTGAACCCTACCACAGTAGTCCTTCGTGTTAGTTATGGTACAAAGAATCGTCATTTAAACTTTGGAATTTTTGAACGAAATCCTATTGTCTCACCATTCAAATTAAACGTCTTTAATACTACGGTTACGCCATACAAATTATCTCTGATGATTTTTCAAAAAGTGTTTTTTTTTTTATTAAGAGCAGTTTTAGGTGTAAAAGATTTATATGTACAAAATTTTTAACAAGGTTTCATGCAGGTTACCCAAATTTATCAGCGGCTCAACCCGGAGTAGTCAATCGATAAAAATCGGTAAATCTGATTTGACTGGTATCGATTGTATCGATCAATCGGTAGAAATCGATGACATACTCGTTTCGTTAATCGATTTATCTTGATTTTACCGATTCCATCGATTTTTGTCGGAAGATACATTTATTCTTCTGTTCATCCAAAAATGAAAGCTGATTTCATGACAACAGGAGTTTGTTGACAATTGAGTTGCAATTGAGAGTCGAAGGATCAAACAAAATATAATCACTTTTTTTAAAACAAGTTTTAAAAAATCTTATTTTTCTTTCAAACCCGCTTTAAATTAAATAAAGTCTTCTTCGGATGGCCGATATTGGCTAGGTTTGCTAGGTCGGCCAGGTTTTTTATTTTTCCCAGTTTTTCACGATTTAGATCTGCCGCCCTTTCAAAATAACCTCAGTTCTGCGTGTAGTTACTACCCGGAGCAGCCAAAAAAATCGAAATCGATAAAAATCGTTAGCGATCAAGTGATTTTATCGAGTAATAACGGAAAACGGTGAAAAGCTATCGAGGGAAATCTTTTAGCCTGAATTTCAGGCATCCCTTCGACTCCATTTTTTCTGAGGGAGGGGGGACGTCTGTACACAGGCTACAATGTCGGACTTACCGTTATAAATCGTTAAAATCATGAAAAATCGATACTATCGATTTGACACAGCAATTTAGTTTATCGATTTTCACCGATTTCCGTTATCAATCGTTAAAAATTTACTTGATTGCTATCTATTTTTTTCGATACCGATTTTTATCGATTGACTACTCCGGGGGTACGAGAAAGATTCGGCAAGCAAGTTTGTTACTTGTCGGCTTGGTTGGGTTTTGACGTATGGTGACACCGGAACGAGTTGGAGATATCGCAAGATCACTTCTAGTTCTTTCGGCTACAAGCTTGAGGCGGAGCGCAAAGTATTAAAGGATTTGTGACGCTGAAGAATGTTGCAAACTTGCAGTTTATTTTTGCTTCCAAAGTGAGGCCGGAAGTTGCTCGAGATATCTCGAAATCAGTTTTAAATATTAGTCAAGATTACACAAGTTACATACCTTAATGGAAAAAATTTGGGGACAAAAATGTCTTTAATTAAAGTTTGAGAGTGAAGAGATTTCAATTACTGACTGGAGATTATTGCAGCACTGTGATTCGAAAGAGGGAGATCGAGGAAAAGGTACGGTCGTTTGCGTTACGTGAGGACGAAGCGATTTGAAAAAGCAATAGATTGTCAACAAGGAGAAGCAAAACGCAGTTTCCGTGGTTTCGTAACCGTTGTGATAAACATGATTATCATTGTCCTTCTTTTAGTTTTGTTTGGAAGAGTGACTGTTTTATACTCGATTTTGTATTGTGTGTTATTGCTTTTCATAAAAGTTATGTTGCGATGTTGTGGAGATTGTGCATTTTCAGCAAGTTTTGTAAGGGAGTCTACTGATGTTAGTCACGATGCTGGAGAAGGTGTGGAGTTAACTGTATATAAGAAAAGTTTTGTTGTAGAGGAAATAAAGGAAGTGGAACTGAGACTCGGCTCATGGTGCGCAATTTGTTTATGACAGAAATTATAATCGAAAAGTGGAATTTGACGAAAAGTAATAGTATACAGGTTCTTCATAATAGAATTTGAAACAGGATATTGGCGGAGATGAACCCTCGTATTAGCAGACTTCGGGTGAAGAAAAAGACGTCTGTCTCATAAGGAGAAAAGTAAAGATATTTTTAGCCTGCAGTGCAGGCGTATTTTGGGTGGGCGAAACCTTGCTCGTGTTCGTAATATTGTTGTAGCCGACATCTTTGATTTTATGACAGTGGAAGATTGGGAAGAGTAGAAATAGTAACCCGTACGGTAGGTGACTTGCCCCCTCTCCTCCTCTCTTCGGGAAGTTTCAACATGGAGCTTTCGCGAGCAAATTGCCCACTCAAAGAAAACGCCTGCACTGCAGGCTAGGGTATTTTTACGGAAGGGTATCCGGGAAAATATAATTTCTTACTATTCCTCCGCATCCACAATTAATTCCACAACCACGACGGTGAAGTGCACCCTGACATTGCGTCTTGTTTTCAACTGAATTTGTGGTGCTACCAAAACAACCGTCAGGACTTCTCTCGCATGATCCTATGTTGCTTGCCCACGAGAGTAAACAGTACGTATTGCACATAAAAAGTTGTGATTCTTGAAAGTATAGCATGTTTCAGTGGCTTACAGACGGTACCATAAGTAGTCAAAAAGGGCGAGATGTGAAGACAATGTAGTAAGACAATAGGGGATTAACAATTGCTGGTTTTCAGTGTCACGCCATTCAAAATAGATCAAAATAAAAATCAAAACTGTCAATAGATAAAGTCCAGAATCTGGGAAATAAAAGGAGGTATATATACGCAAAGACCCTCGCCAAATTTCAGGTCAGAAGAACATTTCGTATACGAGATATTCGAAGAAACGTTTTACCCAAATTTATAGAGATTTGTATGGAGACGCCATGCTGTAGGGGGCGCCAAATGTATTTTTATTATTTAGAGTGGTTATTTGTATATAACCAAAACAAGAGTGGTTATTTACAAATAACTACATTACAGTTTTATTATTTCTAAATAACCAAAATGAAAAATTGGTTATTTGTTAAATAACCAAAATGAAAAATTGGTTATTTAATAAATAACCAAAATGGAAATTGGTTATTTAATAAATAACCAAAATGGAAATTGGTTATTTAATAAATAATCAAAATGCGAAATTGGTTATTTAATAAATAACCAAAATGCGAAATTGGTTATTTAATAAATAACCAAAATGCGAAAATGGTTATTTATTAAATAACCAACGGCGAAAATGGTTATTTAATAAATAACCAAAATGCAGGCAGAATGGAAAAATTGGTTACTTATAAACAAACTGGGCAATTGGTTATTTAGTAAATAAACGAATGTAGACGCTTAAAAATCCAAAAATGTGCAAAAATGGTTATTTACCTAATTTGGTCATAACAAGTGACCACATGGCAGCCTCGTTCCCAGTCGTCCTCGGCGATTTCGCATGTGACGTCACCTGGCCCATTTTCCCGCTCATTTCCCATAATGACCTGCAGCTTTTTATTTCCAACATGGCTTCTTCCAACGAGGATGAAATTGTGGAAGGAATTTCCGCAGCAGTGCGGAACGCTCTTTGTAGAATTTCCCAGCAACAGGTACGTGCAAGGCTAATTTAATGGTTTTCTGTCTTTGAAAATGTCTTGCATGCCTGAAACACACTTAAACGTCCGAAGGAAGACATGCGAACGAACTTGATGTTTTGTGTCTTTTGTCCCACTGACATAACTATCAGGGTTTATTTTGAACACATTTTCTTTGTTTTTATTTAGGGAATTGTTGGCCGTCCCCCAATATCACTATCAAAAGAAACAATTGAAGGTTACCTAAATATGGGTTATTCTGTGTCTCAAACTGCAGAAGTTTGTGATGTATCTCGATCAGCTTTGTATTCTAGAATGGAGCAACTGGGTATTTGCTACAAAGACCGGTTTTCCAGTATCGACAATGACGATTTGGATAGAGTAGTAAGAGATATCAAGAATAAGCATCCAAACTGCGGAGAAGTGATGATTACTGGCCACTTAAGGGCTAGAGGAATAATCGTCCAACGAAACCGTGTACGTGAGTGGTAGTTTCGAAAACGAAGCACTCGAAAACGAAGACCGAAGCACGAAGCACCCAAATCTCGAAAACGAAGCACCCAAAACTCGAAAACGAAGCGCCCAAATCTCGAAAACGAAGCACCCAAAACTCGAAAACGAAGCACCCTAGATCGAAAACGAAGCACCCAAAACTCGAAAACGAAGACCCCTAAATCTCGAAAACGAAGCACCCAAAACTCGAAAACGAAGCACCCTAGATCGAAAACGAAGCACCCAAAAACTCGAAACCGGTCTGTCCTTTATAAACACGAGACCAATGCTAATACAGCAGGAATCAAGCACGATAACGAATCGAATTCTCCTTTTCCCCACCATAGAGCCTGGTCCCAGGCTATTACCCTAGAACAAATTCTGCCTGGATCTGATCTGATCTGATCACGCAGTGTCATAGATACCCAATATGTTAGACTGCAAAACAATCGGTTTTTTTCTCAAAATCAGTAAAGAAGTCGGTAAAGCGTGGCGTAAGAGTAATACGCGCAAGCCTGTCACGCTCCGTTTTCAGCCTCTTTTCAGACCTTTAGTGTTACTGCTCACGCGTACTTGAATACGCCAAAATCTGCTGACGGACAGTTTTGAAGACTACATAAACATGTATGTGTACCGAAAAAATGCATATTAAGGTAAGATGTATCAACAAGAGAGGTATCAAGTATAGCGGGACTAATAATAAAATTAATACAGGATATCCTATTTAGAAACGTTCAGTGAAACAGTTGGTTATAAAACCTTGGGATGGATTTTGTGGACCTTTGGAGGTGCGGACGCATCCGCTGCCTCCACCTGATTCGGATTGCGTCATGTAAGACGTAAAGTTGCACTTATTAAACCTACAGTGGTTTCCAGTTTTGGGTGCTTCGTTTTCGAGATTTAGGGGTCTTCGTTTTCGAGTTTTGGGTGCTTCGTTTTCGAGTTTTGGGTGCTTCGTTTTCGAGATCTTGGGGTCTTCGTTTTCGATCTAGGGTGCTTCGTTTTCGAGATAGGGTGCTTCGTTTTCGATCTAGGGGTCTTCGTTTTCGAGTTTTGGGTGCTTCGTTTTCGAGATTTGGGTGCTTCGAGCTTCGATCTTCGTTTTCGAGTGCTTCGTTTTCGAAACTACCGTACGTGAGTCCATTCACCGCATTGATCCCCAAGGTGTTGATGATCGTAGGTGCAGAAGAATTCGCCGTCGTGTTTATTCTGTGCCGTGCCCAAATTTCATGTGGCACCTCGACGGCAATCATAAACTTATTCGTTGGCGATTTGTCGTACATGTTGGTATAGATGGCTTTAGCAGACTGATTGTGTATTGTCAATGTAGTAACAACAATAGATCCCAGACTGTTTTAACTTTGTTCCAACATGCTGTTAGTCAGTATGGAAGACCACTCAAAGTACGAACTGACAAAGGAGGAGAAAATGTCCGTGTTTGGGAACAAATGGTTAATCAATCACCAGCAGGGGAGATGTCAGTCATCACAGGAAGTTCAGTTCACAACCAAAGAGTAGAGCGGTTTAATCGCGATTTAAACATTCATTGTGCTGATGTCATTAAGTCGGAGTTATATGGGTTAGAACAGCAAGGTCTCTTGGATCCTTCAAATGACACAGATTTATTTTGCTTACATTATGTCTATGTTCCTAGAATAAATCAACTTCTGGAAGAGTTTGTCAATGCCCACAACTATCGTTCTATTTCTACAGAGAATAACCTAACTCCACTGCAACTATATAACAACAATCAGCACTTGCTTGGTCTTCACAGTATTACACACCAACGGCAAGTTCCTGGGGCTGGAAACCTCCCCACAAGGCAGACACTTGTTGAAGTGCCTCCTATTTGCAGCCCACTAGGTGATGAATGCTATCAGAATCTCTGTCGAGACATAGATCCTCTTGTGAATACTTCAAGAATAGACCTCTACAAGCAAGTTATTGAGTATGTTGGAAATTATTTGTTACAAAACTAATGTAACAGAAATTATCACGACTACTGAAGCCTTAGGGAAAATAGGTGGCATGACAGCTTCAAAAATAAGGTACATTTAGGCATGCTGAAATTGTGCTCCATGGATGTTGCTCTTAACAATTTTTCTACCATTAGTCCTCACCATAAGTGACCTATGTTGTGTTTTACTAGTAATTCAGATTAAGACATTAGGAGTCTAAAGTTTAAAATAATGCCTCTTGATTTTATTGTTCCATTTCATATAAGTAGACATTCTTGCGAAAAAGATAATATTATTAGAATTCTCTGAAGGGTTATTTCAAATGAGGATTCTCTGAGGGTTTTTTTGGGGGAGCTGATGCAACTGTTTACCAAACAATTTGGCCGTTAGGTGCAATTGTCACCTATTACAGAGCATAATATAGAGCATTGTGGAGGGTCAGTGAAGAGTGCAAGGGAGGGAGGAGGGTCCACCTCCCTTTGCAGTGTTTCTGATCTGCGGAAAACAAGTGGGATCTCTATTTCTGTTCCTTCAAGATGTGCACTTTACAGTTTCACAACATAAGCCTTTCAAAAGAGGCAACAGCAGTTGTATATGTGTTGTATACTGGTAGTTTACACTCATCCTCTTGTAACAGATTTAGTGAGAAGTGCATTTATTTCCTATCTCTGGAAATCCTCTGAGCATTGTGTGTAGAGTATAACAAAAAAAACCCAAACATTTCCATGTCTGCTATTAGTCCAAGACTCCAAGTTACATTTTAAAGCAACATTAACAACAGTCCGCAAAACAGGATTTTACACCCATTGACTGGTCCATGCTACTTTATAAATCCCTTTGAGTACATGCATTATCCATTTTGGTCCTATAGACTCTACTGGGGACTATTTCCTGCATCTTGTCTAGGGTTTAGTCCCTGCAGTGATGCTCTTCACATCGATTATATCTAAGGGCCTGTTTACATGGAGGTGGTGGACCCCAGGTAGGTGATGTAACCCGCCTGTCCATACAATCTCTTATTTTAATGTGATCACGTTTACATGTTAGGTATCCCACCACATGTTACCTCACCTACCTGGCGTCCCCCACCTTCACGTAAACAGACCCTACCTGGTAATCTCTTTGGCCTAGGTGCCCAAATGAGTCTCACAATGCCCTCTAAATCTGACAGGGCAAATACCATAAGAATTAACAATTAAAGAACAAAATTATGTACTTCAGTTGAAGTTAAAGCTGTCAAATGTCTTTATTTGGCTTTCAACCAACAAGGCACCAAATTGCTAACGAAGATTGCAACTTTCTTAAATGTTAACAGTACAGCAGCATCATTTTCTTGTAGGAAAAACAAAATACATGCTGAACATCAAACTGTTATCTGCTGACATGGTCGGGAAAGGATTTCTAGGACAGTTCTTCAAGTTCGTAACATGCATGTTTTGGATGCATATCTAACATTAACACATGATCAAAGAGAGGTTGTAGACCTTGGTGCTCTAGTGTCTTGTTTGCTGATAATCAAATGAGATAAACTGAGACACCATCAATGTCAATGAGGGGAAAAATTCGAAAAAATCTAAAAATGACAGTGACTTCACACAGTAACAGTAACCAACGAGTTTATATGCAATATAGATATATAAAATTAGCATTATAAAAGATAAAAACAGAAGTTAATGGAAATGATCAATAACAGGGCTGTCTCCAAGATTTTAAGTGACTGACTGAAAAATCTAATATCATTACTATGTGGGAATTGATTAGCTAGTTTTGGTAAGTTCGTTTAGTTCTACTTCTTTCTGTTTGCTATAGTCTTTAGTGACAGCCCCGCATAATAAGATTATTATTTAGATCATACTAAAATTAACGTAACATTTTGTAACAGATATCTTTCAACCTTTATACATAACTGAGTACTGATCTGAAGAACAAACGGCATGTTTATACTCGTGAAATGTTTGTATGTAGAGCACTTTTATGCCATTCCAAAACCACGGGTGTTTTGAACAGCATAACTCAAAGCTTCCTTAAACTATTCATAAGTTTTATGAATCACAGGAAGATAAACGGTACAAGAACATGTACTTGCCTTAGGAAATCTAGACAGTATTCCTGACTTTTCATCAGGTTCATGCAGAAATGATATATGACATGACAGTCCCAGGGGAGGGGGTAAATTTTTGCATCCTGATACAAAAAACAGGATACCCGACAGGGTTATTTCAGCTGACTCTTCCTTACAGTCTTGCATCGAGTCCTGCCAGTGAGAGAGAACAAGGTTCTCAACTTCCCCTCTATTAGATCCTTCACATACACGAGCAACTGAGAACATGTCATCAAAATCAGTCAAAGTCAAAGTGTCAGTCTTGAAACAGAAAGCTTCCCTCATCACTTGTGGGTATTGCAAAATTGAGTCCATTACCCCTAATGTATGAAGACCCTCCTTGAAACTTTCATATGCCGCTTGTGCTCTTCCCAAAACATACCAGTTGACAGTTTTCTGAACAAGGTTTTCAATATCACTAGTAGTTTTAATTACCTGAAATGTGCCAGCCATATCAAACAGTAAATCGATTTTGGCATCATTGATAATATCTTCTGCCTCTTGTACATTTGAGGCATTCAGTAATTTTTCAAGAGATATTCTTAGATCATAGTCGCAAACATCATTCACTGAAGCATTCACATTTTGAACCCCTTTCACGATACCATTATAGCAAACATCTGAGAGGCATTTCAATGTAGGACCACCATGAACAAATGACAAAGCAAATATCTGCCCAGCTAAATAATACTCCCCATCCTCTAAACACCTTGCATTTAGTGATAAGAATTTAGCAAAAGCACCCCCAACAAACATATGGGAATTGAGCAACCTATCTGTTACAAGTGTAAAAATTCCCTTGCTGGACCCCCAAGATCTATAGCCCCTTCAGAAATCCCCATGTCATCAGTAAACTTTACTGAAATTCTGTTTTTGGGGTCAAATGACGTCCTATTAAGTGCCCTTTTGGCACCCTCCCATATATGATTTCTACTTTTGTTAAATTTTGATGTTTCAGTATCTCTTATAACTGATGAAAGATTATGAAGAATTTCCCTCAGTGTGATGTTTGCCTGGACAGTTTCTGCTTCAATACTGGGTGGCGCAGACTTCTCATTCTCAATGATCATTTCCTCATCAGAACTTAATTCATCAAATATCAGTGCTGCATACACTTCATCTGCTGACCTTCAAAGGTAATAAAAACGTTGGAAAAACAAAGGTTAATACGAATAAAAATAATACGTAATTATTCATGGTAGTCAATGCAGAACTCGTGTGTTGTCAGATAGCAAAAGTAACAATGTACAATGCCGGTTCCTTCATATGATTTGTGATTATTTCTTTCGTAAAGGTGGTTTATTGAGTTATTGTGTCGGTCAATTGCAAAATTAAAGTCTCTTTTATGAAAAAGAAAATAGACAAAATATAATTGAAACCATACTGGCGAATTTTGATTGAATAAATTTGGAAACTGTCAGTAGTAGGTTGTGATATTTTGGTGGCAAATGGTTGAAGCAATTACTGTAAGTTGTTTTAATTCATGAAAAGCTTGTAATACCGTCATCAAAATTCATAAAATGATGTAAAACAAAATCATGGATACCCTTCCACCATATTAATGTAATGAGGACACTTCCTTATTACACAACATTTTTTTAGACCCTAGCAGAAAGCCCATACACATGAAGCTACCATCCTTACAATGACTAAGTTTGTGCAAATACCTATAATTCTCCATCAGTGAAGCAGCAGAAGTGACAGATGGCCCTGGAACTGACACAGCAGAAGGTCCAGTTACTGACACGGGAGAAGGTCCAGCTACTGACACAGCAGAAGACCCAGTTACAGACACAGCAGAAGGTCCAGCCAATGACACTGCCAAAGGTCCAGTCAATGGTGGTGATTTAGTGCTTGATTTACTTGATTTACTTAAGCTCCCATCAAATGTGGGAACATCCAGCTTGAGAATATAAATCGAAATAAATGATACTGAAAGTTAAACTGGCAGCCTGATGTATTATGGTCTCCATGGTTCTGTTAAAGCCAGATAGGATAACAAATTGCAGTAATAAATACCATTATACAAATATCCCTTTAAAATGATAAATGGATATGACACATTGCAAGGAGATAAATATAGAACAGCCCTTTGTGTTAACCAAAGGCAACTGAAGACAAAGACAAAGCAAGCATTTAATGGCATTTATAGGAGATACTTTTTTAGCCACCAAGTACCTTCAACAACATATAAACAAGTTAAGGCTGGATATGACTTACACTTCAGTTTAGTGTAATGATCCCAACACAGGTAAGAGAAAGAGTCCAGTGAATTTTAGTGGAAAGAGTCAGGGAGACATTGCTTTATTGTTAAATGTACCAAGAGGCATGATCAATCAAATTAGACAGAAGCTGGGGGTACTTACAGGACATGTAGGGAAACACATTTACAGAACCAAGTCAACCTCTGGATTTGGAAAATTGATTCAGGGAGGTCAAAAACAATAATTATTTTAACAAAGCAAATACATAACCTAATTACCTTGAAATGATCAGTGTCACTATTTTCATCATCACTTGCAACAATATGTCTAATCAATGTTGATTCCTTCTTTGAACTTGGGACTGGAAGGTGTGTCATGATGTACAGGGCTCCCTGAGATGCTAACGAAAGTACTTCAGGGGCATTCCATTTGAATGATGTGGAGACATTTGGCTGCTTTAGTTTTTTTGCCCCAGGTACAATGCTAAAAAAATAACAAATGACAATTCATAAAGACAATAATTGACTTAGTCATTTGTGGTAATTCTAAGCACAAATGACTAACTTACTACAATCTTAAGTACCTTGTAGTCTACTTCAGTTTACTGAAATGAAGTTCTTAAAACAAATTATTGACCACTTGATACTCTATTACGAAATAGAAAGTGTGAAGCTTCAGGATTAAACAACTATAGAATGCTAGTTGATTTAGGACAAGTTTGGATTAATAATATATTACTAAGGTAGCAGTCTTGTTATCATTCTTCGAGCAGGGTAATTTTCTTACCAGCCAGCATTAATTCAGTGACGGTGGAATTAAATCTACAACATGTTAGAAGCTTCACAGCTGGTTAAAGAAAACCCCGACAATTATGTAATTATTGACTGAACGTACCTTAAATACTGAAAGGGCATTTCCTCATCGTCTTCCAAATGAAAAGCTTTCCTAAATATACTCGAGATTTCACTTGCAACTGCTGCCTTGTCCCACGTATTATTAAGGCTCACTTTACCAATCAGGCCCAACTCTGCAAACTGAGCCCTTCGCGTTCCTCGTGGAATGGCAAAGATCTCACCCTCCTCAAATGGCAGGCATACTACATCTTTGGTGACAACTTTGGATTTCGCTTGTGTCGATCTTGTTGAAGAAGCTCGTCTTCGCTTAGGCGCTGGGAAATACGATCGTGAATTTTCCACGTTCCTTTCACGGTTTTGCCTGAAGCCTTGGAGAAAGGAGGATGGCAACTGAACGCTGGCTGCAGGTGATTGTTCACCAGAAAGAAGTGAATGATGTTCATCCTAAAACCAATTGCAAAACTGTAGCATTACCACGGGAAGAAAAACACAATCGACTCATACAATATCAACAGTCAAGGGTACGAAAATGTGTTCAAAATATAAAACCCTGATAGTTATGTCAGTGGGACAAAAGACACAAAATATCAAGTTCGTTCGCATGTCTTCCTTCGGACGTTTAAGTGTGTTTCAGGCATGCAAGACATTTCCAAAGACAGAAAACCATTAAATTAGCCTTGCACGTACCTGTTGCTGGGAATTTCTACAAAGAGCGTTCCGCACTGCTGCGGAAATTCTTTCCACAATTTCATCCTCGTTGGAAGAAGCCATGTTGGAAATAAAAAGCTGCAGGTCATTATGGGAAATGAGCGGGAAAATGGGCCAGGTGACGTCACATGCGAAATCGCCGAGGACGACTGGGAACGAGGCTGCCATGGTCCATGTGGTCACTTGTTATGACCAAATTAGGTAAATAACCACTTTTGCACATTTTTGGATTTTTAAGCGTCCACATTCGTTTATTTACTAAATAACCAATTGCCCAGTTTGTTCATAAGTAACCAATTTTTCCATTCTGCCTGCATTTTGGTTATTTATTAAATAACCATTTTCGCCGTTGGTTATTTAATAAATAACCATTTTCGCCGTTGGTTATTTAATAAATAACCATTTTCGCATTTTGGTTATTTATTAAATAACCAATTTCGCATTTTGGTTATTTATTAAATAACTAATTTCGCATTTTGGTTATTTATTAAATAACCAATTTCGCATTTTGGTTATTTATTAAATAACCAATTTCGCATTTTGGTTATTTATTAAATAACCAATTTCCATTTTGGTTATTTATTAAATAACCAATTTCCATTTTGGTTATTTATTGAATAACCAATTTCCATTTTGGTTATTTATTAAATAACCAATTTCCATTTTGGTTATTTATTAAATAACCAATTTCCATTTTGGTTATTTATTAAATAACCAATTTCGCATTTTGGTTATTTATTAAATAACCAATTTCGCATTTTGGTTATTTATTAAATAACCAATTTCGCATTTTGGTTATTTATTAAATAACCAATTTCGCATTTTGGTTATTTATTAAATAACCAATTTCCATTTTGGTTATTTATTAAATAACCAATTTCCATTTTGGTTATTTATTAAATAACCAATTTCCATTTTGGTTATTTATTAAATAACCAATTTCGCATTTTGGTTATTTATTAAATAACCAATTTTTCATTTTGGTTATTTAACAAATAACCAATTTTTCATTTTGGTTATTTAGAAATAATAAACCTGTAATGTGGTTATTTGTAAATAACCACTCTTGTTTTGGTTATATACAAATAACCACTCTAAATAATAAAAATACATTTGGCGCCCCATAATGCTGGTGCCCATTCGGATGAGCTCCAATATGGCGGACGGAAACCAACAGAAACATCTGTTACCGAATTTTGCTACAAAAGCGTGAATTTATTCTTAGAAGAATTCATAAACATTAAAGTAATACTATTTCTAATATATGAACTGATTACATAGCAAAATTCCCTGGAATACAAAAAATTATGTCCCAAACATAATTACATTTTTGCGTCGGGATACCTGTTGTTATCAAGCACTGGCTGCGTGAACTGGGTACGAGGTAACATGTGATCGAGCATTGCTTTATAGTACGTTGCGCAAATACGAGGGCCCCTTTCTACCTCTACACCATCGTGTGGCAAGTTATCTGTTCAAATTTTTCAGGCAAGTTCTTTTGTGTTTTTCTTTTTTGTCGGTATCGAACAGCCGAGGGTTCTGATTTTGGGTCACTCCTTTATACGTAGGCTCCGGGATTTTATTATTAGGAATAGTCCCACATATAACCTTAATTTAAACATTAATACCCCGGTTACAATTCATTGGCATGGCGTAGGGGGTCGAACAATCGATAAGGTTAGGCGGTTTGATTTAACCGAAGTAGAACGTTTTAAACCTGATGTTGTAATTTTACAAATCGGTACTAACGACCTCACACGCCGTCGGTCCTCTCCAGCATCTGTTGGCTCTGCCATCGAGGATTTGGTCTGTTTACTTCATAATGAGTACGGGGTTCGCTTAGTTTGTGTTGGTCAAACCGTTAAAAGGCACCCGGTTGGGACGTTCAATGCAAACGTACAAATCCTGGCGCAGTACCTTCAAGGGGTCTTAGAACCGCTCCCCTTTGCCATATATTGGACGCATCGGGGATTTTGGCGGGCTTCCCGTTCATACTTGTCATACGATGGTGTCCACTTAAATACAGAAGGGCAGCATAAACTGTACAGGAGTGTAAGGGGGGCAGTACTGCATTGTTTAAAACGCATAAAAACATAAGGAATTTCTCGCCCAACCAGTTTTAATTTTTGGCAAGTTCATAGCCTTGGCCAAGGAGTTGCGTTCAGTGGGCTTTTGGTGTCTTTTTATGTCCTGTCCATGTGCTTTTGTTGCAATTTAATAGTTACTTTGGGATTCTGTGCATTCCTGTGTGATGCCCATCCCTGATTTATGTCAATCATTGTCTTTGGAATTTGTTGCGTTATGTTGCCTGAGTGACAACCAAATCCGGCCGTCGTTGACGTGCCCAATTCACTCCAGCTATTAACGCTTTTACATGTGTCTTTATAGATACCTATGTGATCGGCCCGTGACTGACGCTCTCCCATCACATATGATGACATACGATTGTTGTAGCTGGTTAATGGGCATCCTGCATTTTTGAATTAGCGTACAATGCATTCTGCCCCTCTTGATTCTCCTTGTTGTCTAATCCCGACTTTGCCTATAACATGTCCGAATTAACTCTAGCTAAGTTTTATAGGCCTTATTAATCAGCATGCCGCCACGAAGGAAATCGCGACGAACAGCAGGACCGTCAGATGATACCGTCAACGTCCAATTTGTTCCTGACCCGGTCGAAATGCCCCCCCTCCCAAGCGGCCGTTGAGGCGTCTGCATCTGGTGTGGGATCGGAGGGCCTTTCTGATGCAATGGTTTCGTCTATTGTAGCTGCAGTGAAAACGGCGATACAGTCGACCAACGCGGCCCAGAATTCTTCCCGTTCCATCAATCTGGTCACCGACGCAGTGCAACGCGATGTGCAGTCCCTTACCAATACTCCAGTTGGGGCCGTTGAGTCGTCAGGTAGTGAGATATTACCCAGTGCGCCTTTATTTTCTAGTATAGGTGTACCCTTAGGTAGCCGCTTGAGTGCACGCCTAAAGAATAAGATCTGGGCGGAGGAATTCGTCAACTTTGGCTCTCTTCTAGATATGTCCCCTAATCCGGATAAGTTCGCATTATCTATCACCGCTCCCACCGCCGGAATTGGGTCTAAAACCCCTAATTATACATTCGAACCGGTACACAATGCGAAGAAATTGACGTCTATTCACGGGTGGGTGTCGGCCTTCCACTCTTTTGTTGCAGTCTACTGCGAAAAATTCCCCAGAGAGACGCCAAATTTGATGCAATTTTGCGAAACAGTGCGCGACATCGCCACACGTGGGGGGGACTGGAACTATTACGATGAACAGTTCCGGTATCTTCGTCAAGGCAACCCACAAACGTACCCTTGGGGAGTGGTACATTGGGAGTTATGGCATCGCGCGGTGACTTTTCGTGCCAAATCTGGATATGTTGCAACCGACAAACCCAACTCGAGGTTCAGGGGAAAACAATCAATGGTCAGAGGGGTGTGTTTCACGTTCAACGCCGGTCGTCCCTGTGCGGGCTGCAGATATGACCATAAATGCTCCAAATGTGGTGGTAGACATGCAGCTACGTCCTGTCAATCTGCCTCGAACATTCCCAAACCAGCCGGAGATAGAACTATCGCAACTCCATCGCATAATAAACAGCCCGCCAGTAACGCCGGTAAAAGTATCCACCCTTAGCCCCCTTTTACAACAATACGACCCTCGTCTTAAGCAATTTTTGATTGATGGCTTTTCGTTTGGATTTCGCGTTGGGTTTGTTGGTACTAGCCAATTACGTCTTGCTTCAAATTTGCGCAGTGCGAAGGACCAACCTGAAATTTTAGCTGCTAAACTTGAGAAAGAATGGTGCGCTGGGAGAATTGTAGGTCCATTTTCTCGTCCACCTTTTGATAATTTTGTTTCTTCACCTTTAGGCGTAGTTCCGAAGAAAACCCCAGGGGAATTTCGTATTATAAACCATTTGTCATACCCAGATGGCTCGTCGGTGAATGATTTTATTCCGGACCAATTTTCGTCGGTTCAATATGCTTCAATAGGTGATGCTATTACACTCATTAAGTCGTTAGGTAGGGGCTGCTACATGGCCAAGACCGATATAAAATCAGCTTTCCGCATTATTCCGATTCACCCTGACGATTACCATTTACTGGGTATGACATGGAATAATTCGTACTTTTTTGACCGGTATCTGCCCATGGGCTGTTCTTCGTCTTGCGCTATATTTGAAGCTTTTAGCACTGCGCTCGAGTGGCTTGCTAAACATTATCTCTGTGTTTCCGGTGTTTTGCATATTTTGGATGATTTCTTGTTTATTGCTACCTCTCAAGGCAAATGTGCCTCCGATTTAAACAACTTTTTGAGCCTATGTGATAGTTTAGGGGTACCTATAGCACATGAAAAAACGGAAGGTCCTTCAACCACTTTACAGTTTGCTGGGATAACACTCGACACGATTAATTTGGAAGCACGTCTGCCGGACGATAAGCTTCAAAAATGCAATGCTCAGTTATTGGACATGCACAGACGCCGTAAAACTACCCTGAAAGAACTTCAATCTTTGATTGGATTATTAAATTTTACTTGTTCAGTTGTTCTACCTGGTCGGGCCTTTCTTCGGCGGCTTGTTGATCTCACAAAGGGTGTCCGTCTCCCTCGCCATCGTATACGGATTACTGAAGCCTGTCGTCGAGATTTATTGGTATGGCTTCAATTTTTTAAGAGATTTTAACGGCCGTACATTTTTTCTGGACGATCCGTGGCAGGTTTCACCGCCTCTCAACCTTTACACCGACGCCGCCGGCTCAAAGGGCTATGGCGCACTTTTTGGGAAACATTGGTTTTACGGAGAATGGCCTGCCAATTGGAAATCATTGAACATTGCATTTTTGGAGCTCTTTCCGATTACTATCTCGCTCCACGTGTGGGCATGTCAAATGAGCAATAAATGTGTCTCTCTGTTTACTGATAATGCGGCTTTGGTTGACATTATCAATAAACAGACTTCAAAACACCCCATGATCATGATCTTAGTCCGTGACCTTGTCCTAACATCACTACGTCATAATATTTTGTTTCGGGCTTATC